TGTAAAATGTTAATATTTATTTTGTTAGCTAAGTTATATATGGAATATTAATTTCGTTTTTAATATAATTTGGAAACAATGACATTTTATAAAAATAATAAACTAATATAATGATGTGTCATTATACGATTGGAGGACTTAAATCCTACGTGGACGTCCTCAATGGCTTATAGCCTCAACTTTTATATAGTATAGATTCCGAGGAAATTCTAATTTTTAAATCTATAGCTATTTCATGTTTATTACATATGTGCCCAAACATTTTTGTTTTTTTTTGATTTATCTCGAATTTTTTTTGTCTATAGTACTCCTTCTAGTAATTTCAACTTTTCCTAGAAGTTTTATATTATTATTACAAATAATGTCATCTAGTTTTCCATTTTATAAATACCTTCTTGTATTTTATCAACGCCCATTAGTTTTGGTTATTGCACATGTTGCACCCTCATAGATACCTTTTTGTCCGTGTACACCCTCAGTTTTGTTTGTTAACAATATGTCTCGACTGTTTCTACATTTCATCAATGCAAAACTACGCACAGTAGTTCATTTATTACGTATGTACACTTTCGATAAAGAAAAAATATGTACACATTAGATATAAGGCCCATGTGTATGGTGGCCCTGGCCTGTTATAAATCGACTGAAAAAATTATCCCTTTATATATTAAAAAAATATTATAATAAATGCATTCACACTATAACGGACATGCGTAAGTTTTACAATAATTTGATAATAATTATACTAACGAGTTCATACTATATTCATACATGTGTTCATAATATATACTCTACGTTTATTAATATTAAACTCACATGCATGGTTCCAATAAAACTCTAGATTTTTTTCGGTTCGAATCAAAGTAGATCACGAATCAAAAGCAAAACTATATATATTATTTTTATTGTTTACGGATAAATTTGGGTGATATATTCATAAATTTTAATTCGATTTGTTACCCGTTATGATTTGAACCAAAAAATCTGGATATTCATAACTCTACAAAGCAAATCAAATATTAAAATACAATATCCAAAAAGAAGCAAATCACAAATACCAATAATTTTAGGAACAAATATCTAATTTGATATGTTATGTGCATATATATATATATACATATATGTAAAGAATTATATAGGCATTATATATATTATAGTTAATATAAGATTATAATATTTTTATGAATTAAATTTATTATATTAGGTACTAGAATTTAATAAGTTAAACTTATTATATTAAGTCTCTCTGGTGATCATTTTTTCATGCGTGACATGTTTCATTGTGCACTGATTACGCTGCAAGCTATTAACATTGGATTTCAGGTTAACAGAAAGCATATAAAAGAGCTGGATACTTGGTGGAAGAAGACCAAGAAAATTGAGTAGAGGTGCAAGATGTTTGATCTTGTTAACATGTTTACATAATAATCCATAGTAGAACAGGATGAAATGATATTAGTGTCTACCCTGGGAAGCTGAATTGCTAGGATCAATACAATATTGACTTGTGTTTAGTGTATAATCATTTATAGTTATTCATATAAGATAAGATGGGACGAATTACATTAGCAGTTATAAGAACAAATCTATTATTAATTATCATGTGAAAGAGAATATGTTGAGACGAAGACACACAAATCAAGCTAAACTTTGTTGAATCTGTTGGATGATCGGAGGGATAATAGTCTGATAAGCTTTCTCCGTTGGGTGAGCAATGTCCCAAAACACATGACGAGATGCGTCAACGCACGGTACCGGAGCCGCGGGAGAACAACAGCAAGGCCTTGATGGCGACGTAAATCCTAAAGAAACCCAAATATAATTATAAATGGTCGTAAAAACCAGAAAAAGAAATCCATTCAACGTAACCATGCATGATCACAAAAAAAAAAAGTCCAAAAGAAAACAACACTAACCTGATCTTAGGGGGTTCCTGACGAGTTCAAGAAGAGGATTATACATGTCAATGTATATGGAACGAGAGCCTGGGAGCGTTGAGTTCATATTGTTTACTTCGTTTGCTAGCTTCTTGTTAAAGAGTCTAGCCATTGCGTTTGCGGGTTCTAG